CAGAGAACTGTCCTCGACATGGAAAGCACAGGAGTCATCAGCATCATCTTATATGTCCCCAGAGCCTGCTCTAGTGCCTGGTGCATGGTAGACATTCAGATATTAGTTAGATGAAAAAATATCTAAAGTACCATCAGTGGTATTCCAAGGAAAAATCATAAAGAGCTTATAAATCAGAGTTTATCTGGAGTGTAATGAGGAGCCATAAAATAATTTAAGTATTAGGATAACATGATTTGTTGTATTTTAGAAAGGTTCTCTGACAACTCTAGAAAAGATGAACATGTGTCTAAAGAGAAGAAACTAAGGGGAATCTATGTATGTGCATGTACTTTTACATACATATGCTTGTGAGCAGGTATTTGGTGGTGGTGAGAGTTGAAGCTAAGGATATAAGTTTAAATGGAAAGTTTCTGAAATAAAACAAGTAGAAATGATAAGAGTGTGAACTTAGGCATTGACTGTAGGCCTGATGAGTAAGGGATGAGGGTGATTTAGGAGATACAATAACAGTACTTGGTGTCCATTTGAGGAAGAGGCATCTTGGATGACTCCCAGATTACTTTCTTGGGTGACTGGCTGAATATTAGTCATATCATTCGCTCTGATAGGGGATACAGGTGGAGTAGCAAGTTTGTGTTCTTCTGTCTGGAGAGGGGGGCAAGGAAAGGCTTTATTGACTGTGAAAAACAGGAGAGGATATCAGAGATTAAAATGAAGTTCAAACAGAATTATCCTCAGAAAGAAAACTTCCCCCGCACAACTGGCAAAATATGAACACAGACTTGGGACTTAGTGATTCATAGCAGCAGCTGGAGGAAGGTGTGTGAAAGTGAGAGGGACCAGAAGTAGCAACATTAGGAAAACATTCCTCCTGGGGGAGAAGATCGAGAAAGTAAGGTGTCCCTTGGAGCCGTGGCAGTGAGAGGAAAGAAGGAAGGAGAAAATTGGGGTCTTAGGGAAATGAAAGAGAGACAAGGCACACAAATTGCATCCCCACCCACCCACTACCACCACGACATCATCCATTAAAGCTTCTGCTCTTACTAACCTGCAGAAGCAGATACACTTGAACTCTATCCATAAAATGCTCAGGAATAGAAATAAACGTCATAGAAAGCTACTTTAAGAGGAATACAGAAAATGTGAGTTAATGCATTTTCACTGATGAAAATTCTTCCCTCAAAAGCAAACACAAAACAAAGAAAAACTATATTATAACACTCCAACCAAATAAAATGTCCTCAAACTTGTGGACATACTAATAGAGATATTAATGTAAGGGACATTGATGAAAGGAAGAAAAACAACCAAAAGAGTGAACGTGAGATAGAGAGAGAAGCAAAAAGTGTCAGAGAGAAAGGGGGTGAAATGCAGTAAAGGCAAAGGAAGACCCAAAATACTTACAGAGCTCCTGAAGAAGAAAAATAAATCAATGGAACAGAACAAATTTTTAAACCACAATTGGGAAACTTTTCAGAAATTAGAGAAAAATGGAAATCTACAGATTAAAAGGGCCTACCCTGAACGGATTGATCCAGAACAGTGAACTCTGCGTGATAAATTATTAGATTTTAAAGACTAGTGAAACTATTAAAGTTTAAAGACAAATTTTTTTTCTGGGTCTCCAGTGGGGAAAAAGACTGTATTGCCAATTTTTAAAAAGTAGAATGTGTATCATACCTCTGAAAAACAATATACAAAGGAAGGCTACATACAATAGCATTTTTTAAAAAAACAAGGAAACAAAGTTCAAGCTAGCCAGCCTGTCCCTCAAGTATCAATTTTGAACATGAAAGAATTTAGGAAATATTTAATGAGAATTTAATATATTTCATTATAGATCCAAGACTAAAACAGTGGTGGAAACATGGATATAATTGTTATATGTTCCAACAAAGTAGAAAGAATAAAAATAAGTAAAGGGAAAAATAAAATAAAATCATTCCCTATTGCATAAGTAATAAGTGGGAATTAGGGGATACCACTTAAAGGGGCCAGATGATAAAAAGTTAAGGAAGCAGAAGAGAGATTTAGGAAACTCTAAAATACATATCATGTACTCATACACATGCAAAGGCAACCACTAAAACAAAAAAGGCAAAAAATGGCAACTAGAGAAAGAAAAAGGGTAAATATGAATAGTAAAAATGGTAATTATAGAGTTTAAACATATCAATCATCAATAAGCTTAACTCACCTATTAAAAGAAAAAATTATCAAATGGCTTCATAAAGCAAAACCCAGTCCTATGCTGTATACAGGAGACACATCTAAAGCACAGTGATTTAAAAGGATAAAAATAAAGGGATGTGCAAAAAAAAAAAAAATTTGCAGGCAAACTGAAATAGTCTGAAAGCAGAGGTTGCAATCTCCAGTCAAAGTAGAAACTAGGCAAAAAATTATTAGACACAACATAGTATACTTTTTAAAAAATCATTACCCAAGGATATGTTTATTGATGAGAGAGAGAGAGAGAGAGAGAGAGAGACAGAGACAGAGACAGACATCGATATGAGAATGGAACATCAACTGGTTGCCTCCTGTACATGCCCTGACTGAATCAAACCTGAAATCTGTGCCCTGACTGGGAATCAAACCTATGACCTTTCGGTTTAAGGAAGGACACTCCAACCAACTGAGCCACATCAGCCAGGCCAGAGTATACTTTTCAACATTAAAAGCCAATTATGAAGTTGTAATATTTTTGAGTACCTTACATACCAAATAATACAGCAAAAACCTCAACATAGCAGAATTGCTATAGTAGAATACAATTAATCCCTAAACAATCCAGGGGTTAGGAATGCTGACCCCCACACAGTAAAAAAATCCATGTACTATAACATTTGACTCCTCCAAAGTTTAACAGTAATTGTCTACTGTTGATCAGAATCCTTACTGATAGCATAAACAGTTGATTAACACATATTTTCTATTTCATGTATATTATATATTTGTGTTCTTACAATAAAAAGCTAAAGAAAAAGTTTGTTTGTTTGTTTTGTTTTTTTGTGTTTTTCCTGATTTTCTGTTTCTTCAGTCTCTAGTGGTCTTCACTTTCGGTCCTCCTGTGTAGGGGTTCTTTCCTGCGAATTTTCCGTTGATTATTCAGGAAGTTTTTCTGTATTTTAGTTGTAATACCAGTTTGTTCCTGGGAGCATGTCAGTGCAGCATCCACTTACTCTGCCATCATTTTTTTTCAAGAAAAAGTTTTTTAAAATTATGCCCTGCTGGTGTTGCTCAGTGATTGAGCGTCAGCCTGGGAACTAAGAGGGCAGTGGTTCAATTCCCGGTCAGGGCACAGGCCTGGGTTGCGGGCTGGATCCCTAGTGCGGGGTGTGCAGGAAGCAGCCGATTGATGACATTTCTCTCCCATCAGTGTTTCCATGTATCGCGTTCCCTTGCTCTCTCTCTAAAAATCAATAAAACATGTATATTTTTTAAATTATGTGTGTTAGTGGGCCCTCACAGTTCAAACCGATGTTGAGGGTCAACCATATAAGCACAATGCAAGAAGAAATAGAAACACATGATGGATTTTGACTACATACAGTACAAGTTTGCTACAATAAAATGTTTCAGGACCATCTAGTTCATTTCCCATCCTAAACCTGAAATTAGCCATTTCTTCAAGGACTCTTGGTTTCTTTTAGTGGGAAATGATATTTAGAGATCACAATCTTTATGTTAGAAGTCCTCACTTATCCTGGATTGGTCTTTGTTTCTAGGCCTTATCAAGTGGGCAAAGCTTAGGATATTTTTAAGAGAGAAAATTCATCGTTAGTTCATGGTGACATTTCTAATTGAAATTTAAAATTATAGAGTTTTTTTCTCTTTAACTTTTATATTGTATCTTTTTTCTTGTGCAAAAGAATCTTGATTTCTATGATATTAACAAAGTTAATTTAGTTATCTTAACCTACAGTTTTAAATTAACAATACCAATATTATAAAATTATTAGCAATTATAAAGTGTAGATACTGTAAAAGTTTTAAGTATGTTTGCATTTTTTATCCATGACAAATATCCTAATATATATGTACAAATTACTGTTTCAAATAATTTATTTGAAATAATTTTATACATGTGATTAAACCATCAACTCGCAACTTAATTAAGTTCATTTGTTTCATTTTGCTTTTTATTTTTAGGGCTTTGTTATTTCCATTTTATTTTTGCTTTATTTTTAAAATTTTAAAGGATTCAGCATAGCTTAGCTGACATTTGTTTATTTAAATAAATAGCAACTGAAAGTCTTGGGCTTACAGGAACAGTGTTTTAATCAAAGAATTATTTAGTTATTCAAAAAAGTTTTCCTCAATTATTTTTAAAAATTGAGGAGCTTACTATAATTAAAGGTTTCAGTTATTCAGTAATTATGGGAGCCTATAACCTACACAGTAGCTCTAGAAAGTGGACACACGTTATTACTAAACTACTTCTGGGAGTTTTTGTTTTGTTTTAATATATTTTCAGAGAGGAAAGGAGAGGGAGTGAGAGATAGAAACATCAATGATGAGAGAGAATCATTGATCAGCTGCCTCCTGCATGCCCCATCCTGGAGACTAAACCTGAAATACTGGTGCCCTGTTCAGGAATCAAGCCATGACCTCCTGGTTCATAGGTCGACACTTAACCACTGAGCCACACCAGCCGGACTACTTCTGGGAATTTTATAGCAATATTTTCTAACACATTGGAACTTTCAGCAGTCTTATATGAATTTCTTAAACCCCTTAGTTTCCTAATTTGGTTACTCAGGACCTCAGTTATATAGATAACTGCTCACCTACCTTTCCAGTACCAAAGTAACTTTTATTTTTAATATTTAATGAAAGTAAAATTATATGCTGAAAAATTATATTTTGTGGCTTGAAATCTGAAATTTAAAACTTTAATCATGAAAGTCTGTTTTAGCAGTAGCAAAACATAAAATTGTAATTCTGTTAGGAATTTTATGGGAAGTTAGAGGATCCTATCATGTATAATTCTGTGATTTCTCTTTTTAGAGGCTGATAAAATACCAGTAATGCGTGGACAGTGGTTTATTGATGGTACTTGGCAGCCTCTAGAAGAAGAAGAAAGTAATTTAATTGAGCAAGAACATCTCAGCTGTTTTAGAGGTCAGCGGATACAAGAAAGTTTTGAAATGGATGTGTCAAAATCCATAGATGGAAAAGATGGTAAGACCAATTAATACATTTAACACATTATAAAAACCAAGTAAGTTGTTGATAAAGTTTAGAGTTGTTTCTAATTTTGACATAGTAATTTAAGAGTATTCAAGTTTATAAAACTTCTCATTATTTTAAACATTTATAATTATTTTAAAATTTAAAATGTCTATGAATTTCTGAACTATCTCAATTTCTATTTTACTTAATGTGTATGTTCAATGGCATAACATGATTTACTATAAATGACAAGTTGTCATAATGTACTCTCTAAATTCATTCTTTTTTTTCTAAATTCATTCTTTTCAGTAGTTTTTAGTTATTAAAGAAAATTGAACTTATAAAAAGATCCCTTATCATTATATCAAAAGAGCAGTTTTGTTAATATTTCTTTTTTGTATCTCTTAGATGTCTCCATATTGATAACCAATTTTTAATTTTAAACAATCTACTCCTTACATTTCCTTATTCAGCATTTGAATATGTGTGCAGTAGTTTAAAATAATTATATAATAGCCAAGATTACTGTTTTGTTATGTCTAATCTTGAGTAAAATTCAAAATATGTGACACATTTAAAAATACTTCTATTGTTCCATTTACTGCAGGCAGTGGGATCAACTATTCTGGTGAGTATAACAGTATAGGTGGATTAGAATTTATAGATTCCTCTCTCTTTTTTTAAGCGTTTCTTCATCCATGCTTGCCTTTATTTGGGAGGTTTCTTGGCAAGCCCTGTTAAATCTGGTAAATTAAGTGATTCTTTTCCTTCCGCTCTTAAATATCTCCAAAGCAGAATATTGACCAAGTAATTCACAGAATGCAGTTTGGAAGAAATGAATGTCATTGGAAATAATTGTTTACATAACATAATTAATGGCAAAACAATAAGCTTTAAATTGGCTTATTTTTTTTCTTATAAGTAATAAGAAACATCCCAAGTCTTTTCTCTGTCCTACTCTTTACTCTTATCTCTCCCTAAACACACACACACACACACACAGGCATGGAAACTATAATTTAGCTTATACCAAATTAAAATCTCTTTTGTATCTAGTTGATTAAAAATGTACATAATTGAGGAAAGTTGTGGCTTCTGAATAAATTGGCAATTAAATCTAACAAATGTATATAATAATAGTTGTCTATTATGTGCTAGATAACATACTCGAAAAATTTTAAATATCATTTTCCTAATCTGCAGAGTCAAACATGTACTCATTTCAGTGTAAAATCCAAGGTCAACGTTTTTAATTTTTTTATTGATTTGAGAGAGGGGGGAAGGGGAAGAGAGAGAGAGACATCGGTTGAGAGAGAAACATCGATTGGCTGCTTGCCTTAGGTGCCCCAACTGAAGATCGAACTTGCAACCCAGGGATGTGCCCTGATCAGGAATCAAACCCACCACCTTTTGGTGTACAGGACAATGGCTCCAATCAACTGAGCCATGTGGGCCAGAGCCAAAAACAAGGTTTTTACATATCAGTATATAAAGAGCAGTTCAGTGTCTACAGAGCAAGCTCTCTGTACATTCCTGCAGATTGCTGTAGAGACAATACTTCCCCAGTTATAGCACAAATAGTAAATTTTACATATCTGTGATCTTTTATTAGTGCCTGAAATATTTTGTAACCTCTCATCACCACTACCAAAATAAACACAAAAGCCTACTTTATAGTGTTTGAAGAACTGACCTTTATTTTATATCATTTCATTGCTATTGGAGAAGGCTGAATTCTGGATTTTTCCCTTTCTATTAATTCTCCTTAAGTCTTGCCTCAAAAATGGCAGTTCACCTTAATGAACCCAGTTTATCCACCCAAATTCTTTACTATTAATGTACAGTAGGTCCTCAAGTTACATGGGAGATCTGTTCCTATGGCGCGACATAACGCAATTTTCCCTGTAAGTCAGAACCCACCTACGTAAGCACCTACGTCACTCACATGGAGCACATACACAGCAGTATTGAAGTGAGACAGTAAAAAAAATTTAAAAGCAAGATAACAATTCCTGACCTTTACTTGTGGTAAATAAATAATAAAAAATATAAAAAACATATGTATATATGTCAAAATGACCGAACTTTTTTTTTTATAAATAAATGGGAGATGGCAACGTAACCATGAAACGACGTACGTCCGATGTAACCCGGACTGTCTGTATGATAAATAAATCCCCAAATCCTAAGAGCTTAGAGGAGAAAAAGTATGGTATGAATAATAAAAATATAAGTAGATTGTTTCCCTTTCTCAATCTGTTTTTAAAACATTTTTATTCCACTTGCTAATTCATCCTGTGGAAATTCGTCAGCTCTGTTTTATCTCTAGATCTCATGTACTTGGAATCTTGTTTCTATTACAGTAAAAAAATAGAATTTCATGTGTCCTCTATATTTCTACTCCCTATTAAAATGTTAAATGTAGTCCTTGCCAGTGTGGCCTAGTTGATTAAGCATGGTTCCCTGCACCGAAGGGTCACCAGCTTGATTCCTAGTCAGGGCACATATCCAGATTGTGGAACCCAGTAGGTGTGCATGCAGGAGGCAACCGATTAAAGTTTCTTTCTTATGAGCCATTCATTTAATATGTCTGATAAAGAACATAGTTTATTTGTGTGAGTAGATTTTCATTATGCCTTTGCGTGTATATGCTGATTCTAGAGTACCAGTGTAGGATATAATAATAATACTAGAGGCCCAGTGCATGAATTCATACCCCAGTGGGGTCCTTCGGCCTGGCCTGCGGGATCAGGCCGAAACCAGCTCTCCAACATCCCGCAAGGGGTCCCAGATTGCGAGAGGGCACAGGCCAGGTCAAGGGACCCCACTGGTGCACGATCAGGCCTAGGGAAGGACTGTAGGAGGCTCCAGGGCATGTCTGGCCCTTTTTGCTCAGTCCCGATTGGCCAGACCCCAGCAGGAAGCTAACCTACCAGTCGGAGTGTCTGCCCCCTGGTGGTCAGTGCACGTCATAGTGAGCAGTTGAGACACCTTAGCATATCATTAGCATATTACACTTTGATTGGTTGAACGGACGACTTGACACTTAGCATATTAGGCTTTTATTATATAGGATATTTTGCTAGCTATAAGGATATACCAAGTACACTGAGTGGTAAAATTCTAGTTAGTAATAACAGGAAATTGTTAAACTGTTAAAACACTTTTGCATTGTAATCTTTCAAAGTGATGATTCTTTGAAGTTCATTAGAAGAAAACTTCCTTTTTTAAAATATACTATGGCATATCAGCAAAATATCAGCATATTTTATTATTAACAAAGATTATAAATTTAATTCAGTGTATATGCTGTTGTCTTAAATTTCCAGCCATTTTATTGGTTATTCAATTTTATGTAAAACATTTATGTATTAAGATGTGACATTTGACTTTGAAGATTATGGAAAATTTGGTAGTACATTTGAAAATTATCATTGGTCTTAAGGAAAAGGTATTTGCTGTCCAAAAAGATATCTTTGTTGGAAAAATAACTCAAATTTACCACAACTACAAAGATTAAAAAAATATTACAAACTTTTATTTTGCTTCTTACCACCAGGCTTCTGAAATTTCATATTTCATTAATTTGAGGGGGGAAATACCTTTTCCACCTAAATTTTCTCATGTATATGTGATAAAGCCTGACTTTTCATATTTTCAGGAGAGTTTGAATGCTTTCGTGTGCACATAATACTGTGTGCTAAGCACTTTTCTGAAAGAAATAGGGTTTCTAGAATCTCAAGGGTATTAAGCCTTTTGGGAAGGAAAAGCTTACAGATGAAAACAGTTACAACGAGTAAGTACAAGATAACACAGTAGATAGTGACTATTATACACTCTGAAAAGAGATTTGGAATAAAGAGAGTTGTTGATTACAGTGCAGTGGAGTTAATCAGGTGAGGCTTTCTGGGGGAAAAATCCCATTTAATAATTGAAAGCATTTTAAAATATAATATTTAGCAACTCTTATTAAGTTCTATGGGGAATTGCTAAGAAACTAAACAGAATTCTTGCCTTAAAAGACATTAAACTAAAATAGTACTTTTTCTTTCTGACTTTGAATATATTTTGGTTAGGGTAACTATTGCCACAAGTATGTTGGATATGTTTAGTATTTTCTCCCTGTTAATTTTCCTACTAATTTCAAAGTAAGCATTGAATTAAAAATAGATTGTGCATAACTCTTTTAGTACACAAAAATTTGTGATTTAGATACTTTCATCTAAATTTCTTTTTCTTTTTTTTTTTTTGAGTTAAAATAAAAACTATTCTTATCATACCACTTCCTAGGCTAGGAGACATTAATCTAGAAGCCAAACAAATGAAAGTCTAAATTTCACTGGGGATGAATCATACAAATAAAATCAGGCCTTCAAATAAGTAATTTTGTAAATACTGCAACCTAGTACTAGATTAGTATTTTATTCATTTTATAATTCATCTATATAAAGCAGGAATCAGTAAAAAAATAGCCAGTCGAACTAAAAGAATTAGTCCTGTACCTCACTGTGGCCAAAAAATGCATAACCTCAATCTATTTTTGAAAAAATAAACTCAAATTGAGAGATATTCTGCAAAATACCTCTTCAAAAATGTCAAGGTCATAATTAACTAGATGGAGGGAATCCTTTCACAATGTATATCTTCACCACAATGTATACTTTAAATATTTTGTTTGTCAATGATACCTTGAAACTGAAATATTTTTAAAATGTCAAAGTCATGAAAGAACAAAAAATTAAGGAATTTGTCACAGGTTATAGAAGACTAAGAAAACATGACAACACCATGGTGCCTGGATTGGGCCCTAAAGCAGAAAAGGACATTAGTAAAGAAACTGAAGACATCTGAATAAAGTCTCTATTTTAGTTGATAGTATAGTACTAATGTTAATTTCTTAGTTTTCACAATTGTTCTATAGCTACACTAACGTTAGGGGAAGCTGTACTATTTTTGCAACTTTTCTATTTCTAAAATTATTCCATAATAAAAAGGTTTAAAATTTTTTT